AGATTTTCTTACACAATAATGCTTAAAAGTTAGTATTCTACTGACAAGAAAAGAAAAACGCAACCGTAAACTTTTTATGAAGCCTTTTTAAAACACTTTCTTATTAAAGTCGTTTTAAGTTACCTTCACTCATTGTCCAAAAATGAATTTTTGGATAGGCTAGACTGTTATATTATGTTAAATAAGCTAGACTGTTTGAATATTTGTAATCGTGAAGTCGTGAACGCTACTATTGTATTTAAGTATTTGTAATCATGTACTAATGAAGGGATAATAGAATAATAATAGCATTGTAACAATAAGAAATACGCTGTGCACATCGCACTAATCGATACTACAATAAATACTTTAAGAAAATGTCTATATACTCTTTTTCATATATTTTCGACTCGTCTGCTTCAATCAAACATAAAGATTAGTGTAACATTTATAAGAAGAACGCAATAAATTAATTAATTAGTATAGATTTTTTTTGCCGAATTTTTAGCTAATTTAAATCATCACGATTAGAGATAAAAGGTAATAGGTTGTCATGGAGTCTGAGTACAAAACCTAAATTTGTAAACATCGTTAAGATTACCCGAAGGAAGATGGACGTTACAGCACTCAGAATAGAAACGTTTTGAAAGTACCAAAAAACTAAAAGCATCAAAGTCTATAATTTCGTTTGGTTAGTAATCTAGTCGTTTATAAACTACGCACCATAGTAAGATTTATTGGAAAATTGCAATGTCAGGTTGGCAAACAATAGCTGCCCGTTGCACAATAAACTTTGCAACAGTTGAGAAACTGAAAACAGAATCCGAAAAGTAAATGTATGATGAACAAAAGAGAAGCGAAAGTTAAGAAAATTAGCTCATTAATGAAAAGCAGGGAATGGTATTAATGATATATCCTAATTTTAGAAATGAAAAACTGATTAAGAAGAACCAAAAGGTAGAAACGCATTTTCATTGAAGCGGTAAATGTGAAATCGTAAATAGAAATGAGAAAATAAAGAAACTGAGATGAAATTTCGATTCTCGCAAGTAATAGAAAATTGCTCTATTGCTGAGGTAATTGATAAGACAAATATACAAGAAAGATTCAACTGGAATACAGAGGAATCTGGGAGTATTATTCATGTGTGTACCAACGGAAAGATGGGGCATTGAAAGTCCAGGCCAAACCGCGCCAGCATGTACGAACAACAAAAGCACAAGAGCCGAATATGGCACAATTAAAGAGAAATAGAGTATCGATGGAGTATAGATATATAACGCATGACTTGGAGTAAAAAAATTGAATTAAAAATCATAAATAGAATTTGAAAGAAAAAACAAAACAAGTATTGTTAATATTACGAATTTTAGGTATTTGATAATTTTCGAATAATAGCAATGTGATGAAAAAATGTTTTTGAAAGAATTAGGACTATTAAGTAATAATAATACGTGTTATATTCATGGACTATAAAAGTTATTGTAAATAAATTCAGGAAAATAAGATATCTAGAATAGAAACTTCGTTTTGCAAATAATCCGTTATATATAGTAAAGTTATTCTAAAAAGTACATAAAAAAAAAAAAAAAAAAAAAAAAATATATTAGGCTATAATAATAGTAAGCAATTATTTAGCCACGAATTTTGGAGTATCTTTGATGATAAATAGTTTAACAAAAAAAAAATGTATTTGTTCTTACGAATCCGGAGATTATCACAGTATTCGTAAAAAAAAAACAATTATGAGCAGAGGTAAAATTGTATGCATAAAAAAAAATGAATATAATCTTAATAAACATAGCGAGTAACTGAATAAACTAAAGATTTAAAACTTTAGCAAAGGTAAATATTTGAGGCGAAAATCATAAAAAGATAAGAATGAACAAATAACACTAGTGTATGCTAAGCTACAAAAGAATATTTGTTGAATAAGAGATTTTATTAAGATATTGAAAGAAAAAAGAGGAAGAAAAAGTATAATAAAATTAAGGAACAAGTAAAAATAAAAGAAAACTGGCGAAGAAAAGACAGAGAGACGGAGAGAGAGAGAGAGAGAGAGAGAGAGAGAGATGGAATGAGAACATGAGAGAAATCGCGAATGAAAGCCGAGCTATGAAGAAAGAATAATAGAGCGTTCAGTCATCAGCGAAGAGGATGAAGCTGACACCTTCTTCCAAGAAAGACAGACAATGGTGAGGACCGGATAACGTTCGTGACTCGCTGCTGAAAGAAGTGAATATATTTTCTTTATCAAGAATGCCGATTGTGCATGTGCCTTAGGATTTTCTTTGCGAGCTGCTCTGCCGATCTCTATAACGAATGGTTTTCTGTATTTTACATCGTCGCATGAACACGTGCATTTGCATTTCCATTTATATTTACATTTTCTATAAGAGTAGGAAGCTTATCGAGCCTTAAGAACTATATAAAACTAATTTATATGATATACATTTTAGTTTATCTTTAGTACATCTTAGAAAAGGTCTTTATCAGCGACATTTTTACCTTGGATTAACTATTAATCTGGCATTTAAAGAATACGGATGCGAGTTAAACGATGCGAAACAAATTTTCAAATTGACAAGACATTTTTCAAATATCAGAAGACTTTTCCCGTCATTCGTCATAACTGACGTCAGAAAATCCTTGTGTGTATAAAACTGACATTAAATCAATTGCTTAAACAAAACAAAAAGATGGTTTTTTTGTTTGTTGTTCATTAAATAATTTTGCAGAATATTTTTTATAAATAAATAATACATTTAAAATCACATTATAATGCTTTGTAAATTTCAAATACCATCATTAATAATTAAATCCAACAATCATCGATCCTTTCTTAATCAATGAAGCTTCATAATAAGCTTTGTCGTAATGTAATAATGCTTTGAATTATTAATATTCCTACTGCATTTATAACTTTGTACTTTTTTCTCTTTTTTTTTAATGTCCGAAGACATATAGGTTGACGACAGGTCTCTTAAAAAAAAAAATCAACACGTTCACTTACCGACCGTTTCGTTCTATTATAATATTACAATTTAATTTTGTTTAAAAGTAAGTTTATGAAAAATTTCTCGATATCGTTAATGTTCGAAAATTGGGCTTTGCATTGTAAAAACGAAAAAAGAAAAAGAAATAGAAAAGTAAAGAAAAAGAACAAAAAAAAGGAGAAAATTCTGAAAATCAAAGAAGAAATATATCGGGTAAAAAAGGGAATTTTTCAAATTTATCAATATACTGCAACATATCATATTTGGGGGCTTTGTTCTCACTTTCTACGTTGCTTTTTATCCTTTTTCTACCACTATGACGACTGCTACTACTACTACAACTACTGCTACTACTTCTTCTTCATCATCATCATCATCATCATCATCATCATCACATCATCATCATCATCATCAATCATCATCATCATCATCATCATCATCATCATCTTCTTCTTCTTCTTCTTCTTCCTCTTCTTCCTCTTCTTCTTCTTCTTCTTCTTCTTCTTTTGCACACTTCCATGTCATTTGGCACGTACGTGCTGCCGAGTTGTAGGCCTCGTCTTTCTGTCTCTTTCCTGCAGAGCTGGGACGCGTCGAAAAAATCCATGCAGATTTTTACAGCACTCTGCCCGATATATCCATAGAGCGAGGGCTTTTCTCTTCTTCCTTTTTCTTCATTCCGCCGACGTACTGTAGCACTCTATACGTGAAATGAATCTATATTACAGCGATACTACAGGAGAGCCATCGTCGCGATGAATCGCGCACGTTGATTCAGGGGACCGACATCGTATTGATTTTCATATAAAGTACTTTTTTACGCGAAAACCCTTCTCTTCTCCAACACCTCCCTATTCTCACACCAAATGCCAATGTATGTGTATCGATTCATCAGGGTGAAAAAATCGTGCATCTGTGCGTAAATACTTTTGAAAACAGTATAATTCGATAGAATATTTATAGACATTTTATAAAACCAATTATCAATATGATTAAAAATTTATTAACCAAGCAATTGCGCTAATCCATTATACTTTTCATCGAACCATATTTTCAGCGAACTAACTAGTTAAATAGTGCTATCATATTTTTTTTAAATTCCATTAAATAATAGCTTTTTGATGCTACTTAAGTAAGAGCCGAAAGGCCATTTATACAATGATTTTAATCTTAATAATAGACTTATGTAAAAAATATCTATTTACATTTATTTCAATGTTTTAATACTCGATATATGAAATTGCTTCGATAAAAGAAAGTAAGAAAATAAAATTATTTATTTCACTGAATTTTCCATTGAATTTTAATGTAGTTCTACGCGGCACTAAGACTTTAAGCATTACACGTACGTATATAGTCGAGTGCTCTTGGTGGCTAACAACGATGGAGTTAATAACATTTTTAACGCAGCATTTTTGGCAAAATGGAGACAACGCGAAAAAAATATTTATATATGCATCTAGCGATGATTAGCCGAGTTGTCGCCTAAAATCGCAATTGTCCGAGTGTAATCGGGATAGACTTTAACGAATCGATGTCCCGTATGAATCATCCAACGATAAGGTGACTCGTCCGACCTGTACTCGTCGTCCCCCAGATCCATGTGATAATGGCCCCTGGATATATCGATCGGCTGTCGCGATAATTAGCAAACGTGATACGAATCTTACATACGTAGATAATATCCATCGAGAAGTCGAATGTATGCGAGGGTGTTAGCGTTAATATGACGCGTGAGACCCTGGAAATAGACGCGATTCTAGGTAACCCAGTTCTACTTGCGTTAGCTACGTATATGTGGTGTATAGATGAGTATGAGTGATATGATATAATGTGCCACGACAGGACCAAGGTATAATGATCGGTGGGCCTTATCTGTTTTACACTTTAAAAAGGATGGGACACGTAAGGCCACGTGAATCATATATCCTTGGGATGATAATTCTCTGCTTATATCTGAGCTTAATATACTATAGGAGAATGAGATAAAGCGAAAATGAATCCTTTTTTTTTGTTTTATTTCAGAAACTTCATCCAATCCAAATGAAACCTGCCGACAGTGAAAATCGAAGTCGTAAGTAAATTTTCCTCTTTGTTTTCAAGCTTATTTGAATATTACATGACATTAGTTCCATTTATTCATAAGAAATGCCATCTATTTATAGCCTATGTATTATATAATACATAATATTATTTAAAATAGTATATACTTTTCAGTTATTTTTAACAATAGTTTTTATAATATTGTAATTGAAAAATCGACGTTGGGCAATGTAATCGTGTCTATCGTGGCCACTTATATAAATAAATACAATATAATTATTTGTATCCATTAATCTTAATGAACTAAAATAGCCTAATTTACTCGGGTAAAAAAAATCGTCTTCTCCCTATTATTCCTCAAAATTCTTGAAATATTTATTAAATTAAGAGATCTTTTATATTCATTATAATCCAATGTGTAATGATTTTTCAGTACAGTGAATCGGGCTGAGTCATTATTTTTATAATTATTAACACTATACAATCGGATATTCGATAATTTAAACTTGATATTTTAATGAAAGAATTAATAGAAAAGAGTAATTGACAAATAAATTTACAAAAATCAACAAAATAGTCCAAGTGTATTTTTTGCAATAAACATTCATCACTTCGCTGCATATATATATATATATATTTTTTTTCACATATTCGTATATTACTAACAAAATTAAGAAATCCATACACGAATGAATATTATAATATTTTTCGTAACAGAACTTGGTGTTATTTTTATATAATGAAAAATTAAAAATTACAGCATAAGATGATATTTTAATTACTCTACTCATTGCAATTTACTGCATCGATACGTTAGAAAACTTTTCCCAACTGCATCCAAATATGATTTAAAAATATTTAATACAAAAGCATTCTCGAAGGTCATAATATTAATTCGATAATATTACATTTCATAAAAACAAATTTTTAATATATTTTAATATATTTATATTTAATATACTCGCTGTAACTTTTTATCACACGTTTAATCAATCATATCCAATAACCAAATATGCAATATTATTGATATAAATAATTCGAAAAGGTACATTTAAAAAAGAGATCGGAATTCGATATGAAATTTATATGAATGCATGAAAAAAAAACTTACGTACTCTTAACACAGAGAGAATCGGCTATTAGGTAAAACCTTACTATTTTCAATAGTTTTAATACAACAAAAAATAATGATTCATCGCATATATCATAGTGAGTAGTAAAAATATTCAGCCACGAGTGCCATACTTTAGATTTGCGTGAAGTATTTCTGATGTATGTAATATTACAAACTACTCAGTCTGCAATTGAAACTAAATTGAAAATCAATACGCTCCTCACTTTGTGGGTAAGGCCGACCCTCCTCGTATTCCTCCGTTGCTACGCACCTTCAGAGGAAACTCATTCAAGTCAAAAGTTCAGTTGGTATGCCACTTCAAAGTATGTTTATTAGAAACTAATTGACTCAATCGAAAGGGTTGTGCCGCATTTTTCATATCTGACCGATGATGAAATTTCTGCTCTTTGCAAAAAGTGACGTACATATAAAATACCCGTATGCCGCCAAAATTATCGACCAACAAAAGTCTTTCTGTGCTATTAAAATTGTATTAACTTCCTCGCCATTCAATTAGAATTTTAAACACGGGACTGTTGTTAAAAATTATGGCTTAAAAATATTTCTTAATAAAATATCCTGGGCTTATGGGCAACAAAGATAATAATTATTAATTCAATTATTAATATATCTTATTAATCGATCAATCTTAATTATTTTATAATTAAAATACGACTGAAGAATAATAGAATTTCAATATTTAAAACAATTTCAGTTAACAACTAGCAAATACATTCTTACTTCTATTATATCTTGTATTTGCATGGTCAAACCAAAAAGATATCCTGGAATCGTCATCCTGGAACTTCGTCACTCGACAGTATTTCTCTAATTCCAAGTCAATAATATTTAACAACAATATCAATTGCTAACAACAATCCGGTCTTGTATGCGCGTGTGCTCATCATCATCGATTATCTAATGAAAATCTTAAGAATAATTTAATTACTTGGCTAACAAAACTGGCTGTATTTTTGATTGATATAAAAAATTTATCAAATTTATATTCATAAAGAAGGAATAAGGAATAATGAACTCGATCCAAAATATATTTCATTTTTATATTACGATCAAAATTCACTTGTTCAACTCCTAAAAACTATAAACACAATTATGTTTCCTTCGCCAATACCTTGATGCATAGGAAATAAATATCATTGCTCTCTTAATGACGCTTGCGCACGCGAACATAAAAATATCGCAGGAGAAATACTGTATTTTTAACGCGTCCTTTCTAAATAATCCATTCCTCGTGAAGGCCGTTATGTGCAAGGCGAAAAACCGCCATGTTCCTTTTCGTCTCCTCGCGTCAACCTTGATCCACGCATTATTCACGATGCTCCTGCCGCTGTTCATCCTGATCGGGGAATATCGTCGCCTCATAAATTCATGGTGGACATAAATGTTCGAGAACATTACGCGAAGGGTGTTGTTGGCGGGGGAACCTTAAAAGCCCCCGCGAATCGAGTCACATTTATTATGTTTCTTATACTCACAGACACTGAAGTATCTTAATTTATTCGTAGACTACATTTTTTTTTTTATTTTTTTTTATTCATAATTTTTTTTTTTTTATTACAAGTTGATGATCAATTATTTGATAGATTCGATAAACAGATTCAACATTAATGTATACAATTATATAAAATTAGTAATATTAATCTTTAGTAATGTTTGAAGTCTCTTAAACATCGTCTAAATCACAATTCATCTCTATTTCTGTTTATTTAAAGTACGATAAAATATTGGAAATAAGTAGAAAATTTAAAAAACAAAAAAAAAAACAAAAAATATATGCCACTATGCGTTGACGATAAATTAAATAGTTTCATGTATTTTTTTGGAGTTCCGAATTGTATTAATTACTAATATAAAAATCATTATCATAAATAATTTCGTAGAAATGTAAAAATTTACTATTAAATTGTCGTGTCAAATATATTATAGAAAAATTGTTAATTTTCGTGCTGTTATTGTTTCAAGTGTACCTTATTATTATTATTATTATTATTATTATTATTATTATTATTATTATTCGTTGTATTAGTGATGGTAGTGGTAGTGGTAGTGGTCGTAGTGGTAGTGGTAGTGGTAGTGGTAGTGGTAGTGGTAGTGGTAGTAGTAGTAGTAGTAGTAGTAGTAGTAGTACCGCTACTACTACAGTTATTGTTAAAGTATTATATTTGAAAACTTTATTTTTGAAAACAAATAGAAATAAATGCAACTTTTTTTCACGTGTAAATTGAGCGATGATCTGCATATCAGATATTTATTTAAGTATAAAAGTGCAATATTTACTTGGGATGAGAAAAGGAAAAAAGTCTAAAAAATCCATGTTAAGTGATGGATCACCTACATTACTGAAAATTTCTTTTTTAACATGCAAATAATACAAGTGACATTTATTTTGAATGCAATAATATACTAGTATATTATAAATATTTCTTTTTTATTTATTAAATAATCGGTGAAGTGCAAATATGGATGTATTATAAAATAAACGCTGCTCATTTTTTTTTTTTTTTTTTTTTTAAATATTAGTTATCAATTTTTAACGACCAATTATTTATGATATATTACGGTTCATTGTTATAATTTTTCGTTTAAATTATATTAAAATAAAATACGGATACAATTTTTAAAAGGATCTTCAGCTACTGACAAAGGAGTTTGCATAGAAACTTAAAAGCTTCGAATAATTTAATTAATTTATACACTTACGTCACTCTCGATTTTGAAAATAAGACTTGATATAATTCCTTTGTTGGATGATACTTGAAATGGGGAGATGACACTACTTGTCATAAAATATTGTTCAATTTTTTTTATTAATTAATATGATACGAATGGCCAATAAATAAAATACAAACCATATACTAGTCGTGTAAAAAGTATTTTAAATGTCAAATGCATTTAAAGCAATTATTTTATCTGTAGATTTTTAACTGTTTAGTCATTTATTGTATTGTTTGTAAGAAATGAATGATAATTTGGAATAATTCACATTGCAAATATGTGGGCACGACACGTCAATTTTCTTGAAACTGAAAACATTTTAAAACTGATAAAATTAATTGATATCATGACAATTATTATGTATTAGACAAGAAATTAGCTTACCTATTGTAAAACTGCATACGCCTTTGCACTTTTAGAATTAATCGCTTTAGCGGTCGTTCGATAGAGAAAATGATTTGATTATACGCATAGGTGAACAGCACTTGATAATTACAATAAAAACAGCAACAATATACTTTCATAAATATTCATAAATATTCTCACATGCATGTGTGTATACAAAGCTCGACAAAACAACAAAAAGCCTATCCCTTGCAAAGCCATTGAGATATTCACTTTGAGTATAGCAATTGGAAATGTGAAAATGATATAACCCTTCCCCATACCAGCAATTTGGAGGAATAGCTACAGACATATATTTATCGCGCGAAGGGCATTCTATGTTAACAACTCAATATATAATAATTCCGTGTAAAGGACTTTGAATAGGGAGGAATATTCGACACCTTAAAGGTTCTCAATGCTTTCGCTCTCCAGTTAGTTCGGCCGTGCGAATAATCGCTTTGGATGATTAGCCATTGGCTATTGATGAGAGCATAGCAACGTGCATCGAATAGTTACCGAGACTCGAAGCCACGCAGACAGACATGTGCATTTCGATGTGAAGGACCTTCGGAGGTTGAGGATGGGTGATGACGACATCTCAACTTGTGTCGCTAAATCGTGAAACTTTGCCTCTTTGGATTAAATCGATTTTCAACTAGGGCGATGTAACGTGCGTTCACTCATCAATATTACTATCATTTTCTCGTCAATTTCTTTTCAGAGCGAAACTCATCATGATTGAGCATAGTAGTGTCAAAAGTACGATTTTAAACGATTATCGTTAAATTGTGCAT